TAAGTTCGACTTTAGTGAATGAACTGCAGATTATAAATTTATTTTTTATTAGTTTGTTGCAAAATCCGTTACGTAAATACTGGAAATTTGACTCAAAAATCTTTTTTTCTGATCCTGGGGAATTTTTCAAAAACACTCACAAACTGCAATCTGTTCCATTCAGTTGAAGCCTCCATTCAAGTTCCGATTTTAGCCAATCCAGACCAGCTGAGACGATAATTTCTCCTGCAGGTTGAAGAGGAAAGATTGCTTTGTAAGTGCTAGCAATTCAGCACCAAAATTCATTTTTCCTGATATTGGAGAATTTTTCAAAAGTGGACTAAATCACTGCGTCCTTAGAGGCGGGTCATGAACCGTCGCACTTAAGTTCGACTTTAGTGAATGAACTGCAGATTATAAATTTATTTTTTATTAGTTTGTTGCAAAATCCGTTACGTAAATACTGGAAATTTGACTCAAAAATCTTTTTTTCTGACCCTGGGGAATTTTTCAAAAACACTCAGAAACTGCAGTCTGTTTCATTCAGTTGAAGCCTCCATTCAAGTTCCGATTTTACCCAATCCAGACCAGCTGAGACGATAATTTCTCCTGCAGGTTGAAGAGAAAACATCGGTTTATAACATTTGAAAATTTGTCGTCAAAGTGGCTTTGTTCTGATCTTGGAGTATTCCGGAAAAGTGACTCAACAATGTCTTTCTCAGAGGACGGGAACGCAAGCCCGCATTCAAGTTCCGATTTGAGCGAATGCAGATCAGATAGAAAATCAGTTTTTGTATCAGTTTGTATCAAAAATTCCCGTTGGTAAATCTAAGACATTTTGCTCAAAAATCTCTTTTTTTCTGAACCCGGGGGAATTTTCCAGAAGCAATTTCAATGATTGCGGATTTTTATTCGGGTTATTTATTCTATTAAAGCTCCGATTGTAGCCGATCCAGACTAGATGAGTCGCCAGTTTTTCTAGCTAGTTGAAGAGGAAAGATTGCTTTGTAAGTGCTAGAAATTTAGCACCAAAATTCGTTTTTCCTGCTATTGGAGAATTTTTCAAAAGTGGACTAAATCACTGCTTCCTTATAGGCAGGTCATGAACGGTCGCACATAAGTTCGACTTAAGTGAATGAACTGCAGATTATAAATTCATTTTTTATTAGTTTGTTACAAAATCTGTTACGTAAGTACTGGAAATTTGACTCAAAAATCATTTTTTTTTGAACCTGAGGAATTTTTCAAAAACACTCACAAACTGCAGTCTGTTCCATTCAGTTGGAGCCTCCATTTAAGTTCCGATTTTAGCCAATCCAGACCAGCCGAGACGTTAATTTTTCCTGCAGGTTGAAGAGGAAAGATTGCTTTGTAAGTGCTAGAAATTTAGCATCAAAATTCGTTTTTCCTGCTATTGAAGAATTTTTCAAAATGGACTAAATCACTGCTTCCTTATAGGCGTTATCGTTTAAAAAATTTACCTCAAATATTTTCTCTGGCAAAAAAGGGCGAGTAGAAAAAGTGCAAATCCTCCCTCAATCTGCACTGGATTAAAGCGCGCCCCCAAATAAATGCGTCAATTACCGGGTTTCCAGTTTTCTATATTACATCTTTAACCAATTAAACAATCCGACTACAACAACCCCCTTAGCGGTACAAATGGTCGGCATGAATATTGCTCGCAATTTCCGACTCCCATTTGTCCCCATTGTTCAGCAGCTTCTCCTTATTGTACAGCAATTCCTCGTGAGTTTCGGTGGAGAACTCAAAGTTGGGGCCCTCCACAATGGCGTCCACCGGACAGGCCTCCTGGCAAAAGCCGCAGTAGATGCACTTGGTCATGTCTATGTCGTAACGGGTGGTTCTACGCGATCCATCCGCTCGTTCCTCCGCCTCAATGGTGATCGCCTGCAAATGTCCACAATGCATTTCAGCTATGTTTCAGCTCCAACCGTCTGTACCTGGGCAGGGCAAATGGCTTCGCATAACTTGCACGCAATACATCTTTCTTCACCAGATGGGTATCGCCTGAGAGCATGTTCGCCTCTAAATCGGGGGCTCAGCGGCCCCTTTTCGAACGGGTAGTTTATCGTGGCGGGCTCTTTGAAAATGTGCGCCAGAGTTATGCCCAGGCCCCTAATTAGTTCAGTCCAAAACATTGTCAGGGCCGCTCTATCTGGGGGGACACGTTATTTATCGAGACTGGAATTTACCGTGATTATTACCTGTGACTTCCTTAAGATCCATGGAAGGGTCCTGGTCGTTAACATAAATGTAGCCGTCCTTTGCCTCACTTCCTACAGCTCTGCGGCTTAGGACAGTGAGGCTGGGCCTCACTAGCTTGCTACCTACAAATGCGCATTTAGCTTTGGACTTTAATGGGTCAAACATAGGGCTCTGCTGTTTGGGGCTCATTGTTGGTTAAGTTTTGCAAAACGGCCCTTTTGCCCATGACAAGCCGCCCAGCTCACCTGCTTTGGATAAGGCGAATATTTTACTGAGTGAGCTGCTCATTGTTGCCCCTTTTTCCGAGTTTTTGTTAATAATTCCAAAAGTTATATCATCAGCCCAACAACTCGTTGACGCTGATTGTCTGACACTTGTCACAATCCCTTTGACATTTTCTGTTGGTCTAGGTGGGGTGGTTTGCGTGTCTCTTTTTAGCAGCATGCTGATAACAAGGAGCCAGGTAGTCTTTGAATACGATTTTTGGGCCTGACAGTGACAGCCATCACAATTTGTTGGTTGGTTTCGGTATAGATAAACAACGAAGCTTTCTCATTTATCTGCTCCGCATTCTAGTACTGGGTGGGCTGCATTTATCCGGAAATATATGCACCTTTACGCGAACCGATTAGTGTCTATTGAAATCCTTCGCAGGGGGGTCACTGGCCGGGGTATCGTTTCCTAACCTAAAAGCGGAATTATTTTCGGAAAAGATGTCCCGACACGTGCAAAGCGCGGACGCCTCAGTGCTGGAAAGAAGGCTGCGTCCTATCTACGGTAAGATTCACTTGGCGACCGTCAATTTGCTTGGAGAGTTCAAATAACTACCCGCACAAGCCCAAGGAGCTTACTTCACCCCGCCTAGCTCACTTGCGGGTTTTAAAGTCGATTAAAAGCAGTAAAATGTAACAATTCCCTTAACAGAGTGGTTGGACTGCAACAACAACAAAAAGGCCCTTCAAGAATGCGAGAAGGTATTGAAGAAAACCCCAACTTTCCAGTGCGTCAGGGCCTTGAAGGCCCTGATCCTGTTTCGGATGGGCCGCGAAAACGACTGCAAAGCCATCCTGGAGAGCCTCAACAGTGAACAGCCCACTGATGACTCCACTCTACAGGCGATGACCATGTGCTACAGAGAGCTGCAGGACTGTAGGTCTAAAGCACATCTGGGCTGCACTTAGCTACAATCTGCTAAATATTTCAGTACAGAAGGTGTGCAAGATGTACGAGATAGCGGTGAAAAAGGAACCGACCAATGAAGAGCTGCACACGCAGCTCTTCATGAGCTATGTCAAGGTGCATGACTTCAAGGCCCAACAGCAGTGCGCCATGGCGCTGTACAAACAGAAGCCGAAGAACCCCTACTATTGTTGGGTTGTGATGAGCATTGTACTGCAGGCAACCAGAGGGGAAGGTAACTAACTTCCTCTCTAAAAGCAAGAAAAGCCAATAATCAGGGGGTTTTGCAGGATCGAAAGACCAGGGCAAGAAAACGCTGCTTCTCAACCTGGCGGAACGGATGATGAAGAAGATGGTGGATGACAAGAAGATCGACGCAGAGCAAGAGGTATGTACGCAACGAAGATCAGCTATTTTTTTACCTTAAGAGCCGATGTTCAGATTCAGCTGTATATTATGGTTCTGGGGCTATTGGGGAGGAACGAGGAAGTGATCGCACTCGTTGAAAGCCCCCTTGGGGAAAAGATGCAGTTCCCCAACTCACAGATGGTGAAGTTGAACGTCTGCGCCAAGCTGGAGCGATGGCAACAAGTGAACATCATCTGCAAAAATATTCTCAGTGAAAGGCGAGTAGATCGTATCGCGCTGGAAAGGGTTTAAAAACGCCCTTTTAGTTTTGACCGATGGGAGGTGTGGAAGACCTACGTTCACTCAGTGTTCGAGCTGGCCGAAACCAACATCAATGGACTCGGGGAAAATGGAAGCGCCGTTGAAACCGCCGACAACACAGCGGAAAAGTGCCACGAGTTCATCTGCACTATTCTGGAAGGAGTTGCCGACAACAGTAAGCGCTTGAGTTATTCCAGGTCCTCACCTGGTTGTCCAGGTTTTTCCCTTAGGGGTCCCTATCTGGCGCGGTTCGAGCTGGGCGCCAAGCTGCAAGAGAAACAGCTGGATACCAACGAGATTCTCGGCGACATCAGCCACCTCTTTATCGAGTACTTCCGCAAGTTCGGCCATAAGCCCTGTTGTGTGGTCGACCTGAAAATCTACTTGAAGCTGTTGGACAGTGACCAGAAGTCGGAGCTGGCTGGCAAGCTGGTGAAGGAAGTGGGCATTGGGCCAACCAGCGTTCCTCAATCCGTAAGCGTTGAGCTCCCCACCAGATTTGTCCGCCCTGCTCATCAACTTCTTGATAGGCCGATCAGATGCAGCGCCACATCGGGGCCTTGCAACTGTCCAGACTATGCGGCGCTCATCGAAATCTCTCCGTTGAGCATCTCCGCGCATTAGTGACCGCCTTGTTCCTGCATTATCAGCACGGCTACCAAGCGTATGGCAAAGACTTACCTGCAACGGAATTGGGGCCTTCGGACAACTACGCGATTTTGGCCGCTCATATCTTGTTTGATCTGTCCATTATCGAGAACGAAATGGAGTACGTGGTTGTTGCCATTGCCCTACTGGGTGGACTGCTCAAGAACTCGCCCAGTAATTTCCACGCGAAGCTCTTAGTTGTGAAGTTCTACCACATATTGGGTAAGTTGTACGGTGCCTTTCGAGGGGTATGTGAGACGATTTTCCTCGCAGGAGTGGCATTGAGCGCAAACTTCGTCTACTACACTCTGGACATCAAGCATCTCCAACTGGACTCATTGGGGTATATTCACTGCGCCCAATTGGCTACGACCGGGTTGTTCGAGCTGTGCAGCATCCACTTTGATTCGACTGCGAGGTTTTTCGCCACAAATTACAAAGAAGTGAGTGACCCGTGGGTTGAGGGTTTCGAGGAGGTTGAGGGCTGACGCAACCGGTTGTTTCAGAGCATCGACCACTTGACGTTCTCGTACAAGTTCGGCTCCTTCATCAAACTAGACGAGTTCATGGATTTCCGGGAAAAGATGAACAACAGCACACACTACGCAATGGTGGTTGTAGATAGGATAGTTTTAAACTTAATTAATTGCCATGACTATGATAGGTTGTGCAATTTGGACATACCATCCAACGATAGCGAGATCGAATGGGATAAACTTAGGTAAGCAACTGAATACTGTCAGCGAAGCCTACAGGTTTTAATGCTCTGTGCACTTGCAGCGACAATCGCGATTTGGACGTTTACTTGACTTGGGATCCAGAGTTTGCCAGTGAGTCGGTTTCGAAATCCAAAGCGATTCAACGACTGTACACTCAAAACTTGAACTTTCTCAAGCTGAGGACTCGCCTATTGCAGACAGTCAGTGCGGCGCTAAAGGTATGCAAAGCAGAACACGCTCGTGTTGAGCCCGTTTCTTCCTCAATTAGATTTTACAAACCTTTAAAGAAATAGAGGCCGTTTTGCCACCTCTTTTGAGCGCAACAAATACTACGTTTTTGCTTTAAAAACGTCGCTGTTGCAGGTAGTTCAAGCCAGGGATGGAGAGAGGCAGAAACGCATCGAACATTTGAAGCAAACGTTGAAGGACTGGAGAAAACTGGAGGATGAAGTGAAAAAAACTGATCTTGATCCCATCCCCGAGGTAATCAACCAGCATTAAATAACCGATATCAACTGTAAAACGGATATTTTTGCCATTTTAGAACCTAATACCATATCCGCCTGCCTCGCGACTACACGGTTATTTGGACACGCCATATCGTCCGGTGATTGCGGCCGTATTGGACTTTCAACTGTCCCTGGCCATCGACGAGTTACCTCAAGCAGAAATTAGCTGCAAAAGCGCTCAGCAGCAAATCGAAGTCCTGGCCCAACAACTAGAAAGCGTTTTGACCGACTCAGTAGACTACCGAAAGCGAAGGAAAGGCCTAGAGATGTTTGTCAACAATTTAGAGGTACCTGAATTTCCTTCAATGGAAACAGCAGGCTTTCATTGATTTCCCTTTCATTTTTTTGCAGCTAATTTGTATCAGTTGTGTTCTTTGCATATTGTGTACCGCCCTCGTGAAGCCGTCGCATTCGAAAAGGGCCAAAAAGAAGCAGCCGGTCGCGTCACGTTCTAAAGATTTGTTGCTCAGTCTCGTGGTGAACAGTGTTAAAAAGGAAATTGACAAAGTGAGCAAGTTGCTGCAGGAGTGGAGTGAAAAAGTGACGGAAAAAGACCTAGCAGGCCTTCTGGGGCTTTTAAACCTGAACACTGGCAATACTGAAACCTCAGAGCAGCATCAGATAATCATGGAGAGCTACGAAATATCTTACAAACATATCAAGAACGTGTTCGCTGCGAAGTTGAAACTGCTGGATGATTTGTAGCCGTCGGATGTCCACCTCAGAGCAAACCCCAGTAAATTGATTGCAAACGACGATTGAATATCGATGATAATCGAGGCGTTTGATCTTTAGTAAAGTCAAGATTTCGATTAATGGAACTTTGTCAGCTCTGCCAAATAAAATTTGTATAGAAGATGTTCAAGGTTCTCAAACGAAGCTTTATTGCTAAAACCTTTTATTTGCACAAAACAATATACTTACAAACTGATAACGTTAAATAATAAATAACAACGCAAACTCGAAACTACAACTATGCTGTTAGAAAATGGGTTTCCATGGGCTGTCAACATTCAAATTGAAATTTTCCCAGTTAGTTGAATTCATTTCCATGCTGTACATCGCAAAGCATTTGTTTTCGAAATATATAGGGAGGTAATAGATAAGCCAGTAAAAAACATCTAGTCTACTTTAAATACATCTGCATGACACACATTACACAACGTTGTTCATTTTCCAGTTCCTAATCTAAGCCAGTCTTACTCTTTTGATCAGCGAAAGTTTTTCAAGTTTATACCGGGTGTCCAGCTGAATTTCAATTAAATAATATTCGAACAAATGGCGCGAATTTTGAGTTTGGCGCCACTCTGACCCCTTCCACCTAGTAACCATGCCAACATGCGACTATCAACATTGGCCCTAGTTGCCAACGCGACTCAATGACAAAAATGTGGTAGTTTTTTGTTAATTAAACTTTCACAGTGAATTAGGTAAGTAATCGTTAGTTTGTTGCGATTTAGGAAATCGAAATTTGACTATTTCTCAAAAGAATGCGCTTGATTGATTGCCGATTTACTTCAAGCGCGACATTTCAGTGTAATTCTTACCTAAGTAGGGCCCTGACACGAACTCGATGCTGGACAACAGTTAAATGCCTTTGTAGAAGCAGAATATGGACTGAATAGCGAAGACTGCTCGAAAAGGGGGCTTTTGAGGGCCAGTGGAATCAACGTTTAGTCCCTACTGATCGTTGATTGTGTTGTCGTTGCTTGGAAACCACCACAGGTCACAGAGGTTTGTACTCTTAGGTACTCTGTGATCTGTGGGAAACAACTACGCGTCAAATTCAGTGACGCGTAGTAGTGATTCACGGGTTTTCTCAATTAAAACAATATAAATGTTCGTTTTTGTTGCTCTCTTTAAGCATAGCGTGCATTCGTTTAGAAAGAACTTCCGGAATATGACGTGAACTTCAAAAACTCCCAAAGTGCAAGTAAGCTAAAGACACCCGGTATATGTATAGTAAATATATCCCTGTTCTCGTATACTTTATAGGATTCATCTTTTTAGGCGCGTATCACTTTTGCCAGTGATTTATTTGAAAATTTTCTTCTCGCCGAAACAAACCGTAAATTCCAACATTATTACTTAAAGCAAACGGCAGCTTTCTGCATCATTCGATTGCGGCAAACCTACAGCCCAAAGCCACCAGTTTTGCTGCCGCAAAATTCATTTCTGTAAAAAATAGTCCTCGTCTCTCTCAACACACTCATATGTAAACCGTTCAAAAATAATTGTAAAAAATAGTACGAAGATCCCACACCATAGATTAGGATGACGGCGCTTCAATTATATCACAGCAATAACGTAAGGTAAGGCGGTAAGCGTCGATTTAGTGCAGACTCACACTTCAAAGTGCTTGTAAATAGCAGTTACGTAGGACATTACTTGCTGCCAGTCGGGGCGCTCCAGCTGGATCATGTCGTTGATGTTCTGAAAAAACGGAATGTATTCGGCCTGTGCGCTAACGGGGCTTCAACTAACCAGAGTGGTCGGAATGCCGACGCTTTCAGCGGCAGAAAAGGCCAGGGAAAAGTTCCGGCGCTTTTCCTGCTGCGTCAGCGAGTCGTAGGGGATGCGATCCGGCAGGTAGGTGTGCAAGAGGGCGCACAACGCCAGCCCGTCGTTCCAGCTGCTGCTGAAGTTCGTAATGTCGATGTTGCGATAGCCCACTGTTTTATTCTGGCACCACTTGAGCAGCGCGTTGCGCTTCGAGCCCCCATTCTTCACTAGGCTGTTCAAGGGGTCGTTGCGTTCACCTACAATTCGCCAATTAATACCTGCGCCTTTGGAAAGCCAGCAAAACTCACTCAAGTCCGAGTAGCTGTTGCGTCTGGAGAAATCGATGCCCTTCTGCAGAATCGTGTCCCTGTACGTGTCCTCCGGCTTAGTTTTCCCCGAATCCTTCCCATCTGAAGCCAAGTAAAGTTGAATAAACCCCCTAAGAATGCGCGCCGTCCATACGTACCATTCAGGCCATTTTTGCCCCAATTTGCGATCTTATTGGGCTGCTGCTCCTTCAGCGGCGTCTTGATGTTGCTGTTGGCGATATCCGGCCAATCAGGCGTCCTCAAGGGGCTTCCGGGCGACGGGGTGGGCAAAATCGAGGGGCTCGACGGGTTCCGGATGTCCGAAGCCATCGAGTTGATTGAGGACGCCGAACTGCTTCGACTAACCGTCGACAGAGCTAAACAACACACGCCCTAGTTTAAAGATCCTGACCTGGACCAGGCTACTCTAATCTTACAGGATTTCGATCCGGGCTTGGCCTGGCTTTCAATCGACTCTATCAGCGACTTGACCGATTGTCGGCTGTTCTGCCTGCTCAGCACGGCGTTTTTCCTTCGCAACGTCAACTCATCGGTGGGGAAACTGGTAGGGCGCATGGGAACCGGTTCCTGGACAGCTGATGAAACATTCCTACTGTTATTAACTGCAGCTCGTCTTAAAACGCGAAATGCACGCAAACGCAACGCTAATAGTATTCAGAAACCCATGCCAATAAACAAGGTAACAAGCACCCATACAGGGCGGTTTATTTAAAAAATACACAATTACATCCTATCTTTCTACAAAAAAAATTACACAGAAACATGTATGCATTAATGGTCCTTGGAGTCGGGAGTCGGGAGGTCCGGAATGGTCTCCTTGCTGGGCTTCTGCTTCAATTGCTGCCAACTCTTCGAATCGCGGCCTCCCAGTCGGTTCGGTTTCGGCCTCGGTTTCTCCTCCTTGTTGGCTTCGGCCAACGCTTCGAACAGTTTCTTCGCTTGAGAAAAGCTGGTGCGACTGGTGCTGCTGCTCTTCGAAGCGCTGGTGGACGATTTTTGCGCTAAAACTTCCAAAGAAGAGCTCGCATCCGGCTTGGTAATCGTCGCGGCCTGTTCCAGCACGTGGAAAGTTTTCTCGCGTTCCAAAGTGTCGTAGCTGTTGTTCTCCTGAGTGAAAACCGATGTGGTTTTGTCGTCCAACGGCACAAAATCGACGATTTTTGGCCGAGTTTCCGGCCTTTTGCCCAGAAGCGCTTCAAACTCTTTGCTCTCGTCGCTTTTGAACAGCTCCAGGTAGGAGTCGTAGGACAGGGGCGAATCCATGTGGAATAGGTTCACGTTGCTGGAGTTCGGTGCGATTTCCTCAACATCGTTCTCCTCCTGCACGGCTCGCGCCTCCTCTCCAGATGCTTTCAACTCCACAGGCGACTCCTCCAACTTGCTCACTATGTCCGTATGGGCTTTGCTTTCCTCCACCCAAATGGGGTCCTCTGTGCTCTCTCCCCTAACTTTTGCCTCTTTGTCACCTACTCTACTGGAATTTAACTCCGCCTCGCTCATCTTGTCAAAGTCAGCAACGTCCAAAGTGCGCGGACCAGCCAGGTTATCCCTGGGCAAAGGTAGGGGCTTCTTAATAGCACCTTTATAGGCCGCCTTTGGAGATTCGAGTGTCTTGAAGCCCACGTTGGAGTAAACCGGCTCGTGTGCAACAGGCAAAGGAGCCACAAATACTTGTTCTTTAAAGTGGCCGTCCTGTTTGTATTTCGGGGGTGTGGGCGGTTGAAGCTCAGGAGTAGTTGCGATAGGGACGAAGATCGTCTCAGTGAACATGAGATCGGACAGTCGCTTGGACGTGCGAGGGTTCGGAGGGCTGTTTCGCATCACCACGTTGCCATCAGCAGGATTCCTCGGCTGCAGGCTGGGCACACTTTTCCACTTAACTGGGTTTTCTACCAGGGCAACCTCCACCTGCTGAGGCTTTGGGCTGTTCGGCAAAGGAGGGACGATGTCTGTTTCCTCAACATCAGCGCTCTGCCTTCTAGCCATGTCAATCAGCAGCAAATCGGCCTCATTGAGTTCGGATAGAGGTCGCGCCTCCTTTTTCCCTACACTTGGTCTCAAACGTGCCCCAGCCTCTTCTCCCAGCTGGTCGCCAGCAACGTCACTCCGTTCTGAAGTAGTGGACAGTGTATCAGATCGATCATACTTTGCCTTCATTTCCTCGATCAACTGTTGATCTTCCAGTGAGAGCGGCTCCGCATTGAGCATGTCATCCATCTGATGCACATTAGGGAGCGGCTCTGGGACTAGGGAAGTCTGCACCAGAAGTGAAGCCGTAGTGTTCATGTATTGGCTCATGATGGCGTCCATTTCTTCGTCTATGGAAGAAATGGCCTCAGACCGACGCAGAGCCGATTCCTCGTCTTCCCGCACTGCTTCAACGCTCTTGTTGAAGGCCGGCCTGAAAAAATCATCAATCGCGGGATCGTGGTTGGGATGATTGGGCTCTGGCTCGGGTTCAGGTTCTTCTGGGTGAAATCGCGATTTGTATTCTTTAACGACCGTTCTGTAGCAGGACCGAATTTCCAAAGGAGACACCACTCCATACTGGTTCTCTTTGATTATCTCCTCCATACCTGAAGACTCTGAGATGAGAGGGACTTCCCAATGACCCTCTGCGATTTGAGGTTGTTCTCCAATGCTTGGGATTTCTTCAATAATGGGCCCCACATCTGCCACCTGCCATTGTAAGTTTCCCTCTAGTTGATGTTCCAGGCTTTCTTCTTGCGGTGGACTGCGGAAATCATCATGGACGGATAATGAGTGTTTCCTTTCCTCTTCAATAAAACATTCTAATTCTGCTTCCAACGGATGTTTCAAACTTTCTTGCTGTGATGCTGAGTGTTTTTCTTCTTGCCGTCTCAAATCTTCATGGAGCGTTGATGTATGTTGCGGTTTTTCTCCAACAGAGTCACGCACTTCCGCCACTTGCCATCCTAGTTTAGCTTCAGTTGGCTCTTCCAAATTTTCCTCCTGCCGTGGGCGGGTGACATCTTCATGTTGGCTTTCTTCGACTTCTTCAACAAGGTGACTCACTTGTGCCGGAGATTTCAAAGGCTCTTCCTGCTTTGGATGTTGTTTATCTACATCTTCAATGTGTAGGGTTGCTTCAACACATTGGCTCACATGTGGCATTTGCCATTCTGGCTGCAAATCAACCGGAGGCCCCAAACGAATGGTCCTTCGCTGAAGATGTTCCACCAGTTCATGAAGAGTTAACAATTCGTGCCTCCCTTCCTCACTGGGAGGTTCTTCGACAAGGTGGAGGACAGGTGGTAGTTGCCAGTCTAACTCTCCTTCTCTGGGATATTTCTGATGTGAAGGTTGCAAGCCTTCATGGAGAAACAGTGCGTGTGTCCCTTCCTCTCCTTCTTCATTATCGGGACTTTCTTCAACGTCCGCATGAGACTCCGAGTCCGAGACTAAATGGAGTTTCAGGTCTTGTTCTTCAGGGTCTATCAAAGTTGGGGCTTGAAAATGCAGCACTTCAACAGACACCCATTGCTGTGGAATTGCATCTTCTGGTTCTTGGAGGAAGCTCGATCCTCGGCTTGCGTCAATGGAAATCGCCTTTGCTGATTCATAGTTGTAATAATGAAGTTCCGGTTTTTGGGTCAGTTGCTCCTCATCTTCGTAGCCTTGTGGCGGGGGCACAAAGGCCACATCCATCAAGCCGGCGTCAATCTCCAGAGTATTAGGCTTTGAAGGTGGAACTGTTTTTCGAACCTTGGGCGCATCAACCACAGGCAGTTCCCTCAAATCGTCTTGCGACCTCTGCTTCCTCAAGCTCTTCCGCAGCTCGTCATGCTCAATCCGCTTCAGAACCTTCTCCAATTCGTGCCTGTAGTTGGCGCGTGCCTCTATTATCTTCGGGTGGTGCACATCTTCATCAGAAAGCTGTTGCTTCAGTTCCGCCAGGCCCTCCTTATTCTTCGTTTTGTTCAGCGTGTCGTTGTAGAGAAGATCCTCTCTGGAGTCAGGTATAACAGTGACTGTTTGCAGCTTGAAAGGAATGTCGCACTTTTCTACGATCTTTCCAGTATCCAGATTGAATTCAGCGCTGGTGAACGAAGAAGAACTGCTGGATTCCTTGGATTGCTGCGAGGCATAGTACATGTTGATCAACGTGTTTTCCGGGATAAAGCTGAAAGAAATGTCCTCGTGCGACTTGCTGGTGGCCTTTGTGAGGGTGGGAGTGTTAGAGGGACTGCCAAGATCGCTGCAGATGTCAGTGCTGTGCCTCTTGCGCTCCCCCGAGGGAGTCGGGTATTCAGCGCGGCGGATTTTTGGGTTCATCAGCACTTCCTTCAATTTCCAGTTCTTCTCCACTGATTCCTGAGTGGGAGCGCTGATTTCCACCCCTCTGATTGAGCTCTTTTTCTTCTTTAACCTCTTCAGCGTGGTCTGCTTCTCTGCTTCATCCAGCGCCTGTTTCAGCTTTAGCGCAAACCTTTGCTCTTCGCTCAGCTCCTTTTCCGGCAGGTCTTTGGGAATGGCGCCAATAATGTCGTCCAAGTTCTCGTAGTTGACGTAGATGCGCGGCTGCGGCAGCTGGTTGTCCAGAAGATGATCAGTTGAGTACCTTGGATTGGATACTGAGTCGTTTGGATGGATTTCGCTGGACATTCGATTGTAAACCTTGTTGGCTGGGATTGGTTGGCCGTTTGTCACCGGCGCCAGCTCAGACTCAGTTCGGAACTCCTCGAACACGTTAATGTCTTGCATGCTTCGGGATTTCGGCAAAGCCTCGTCTGGGGTGCGTTCCTTGCTGTCCAGTGCAAAGTACACGTCTTCTAGAGCGCTTTGGCGCACCTCGCCATCCACGCTGGGCAGCTTTGGGTCTCTGAAGAAGCGCTCCAACTTCGGATTGAGAACGACGGAATTGAGCAGGGGCTTGCTGATGGCCAGGCTGTCTTTGGGCTTGTGCGCCACTGGTCGTTCCTTCAACACATCGTCTTCGTAGAGGGTTTTCAGCCTTTTCACCGCGCGGTCTTCTTCGGTCAGAAGCTCGTCCGGCACATTGTGGTCGATGTGCTTGTACCAGCTGTCCAAGGACTTCAGCAGCATTTCTTCTTCGACCGACATGAATTTCTGGTGCGCGCCGGGTTTGGAGCGGGATTTGTCCCGTTTTTTTATGAACTTCGACAAGAATTCCGGCTTGGACTCCGACTTGTTGCTGTCCGAGGATGAGTCGATGCTGTCTTTGCTCCTTCGGGGTTTTTCTGCACCGTCAACTTCATGAACCTTCTCTTTGCTTTTGCTTTTCTTCAAGACGCCCTTAGTTGGCTCCAAATCGACGTGGTCCTTGCTTTTGTACCACTTTATAAAGCCTCTGCTGCCCTTGCCATCCTCTTCACCACTTTCCTGGACGTTGTCTTTGCTTTTGCTTCGCTTGAAGAGCCCTTTGGGCTCCTGCAAGGGCTCCTCGGGCGCCACCGTCAAATCATCTCTGCTCTTGCTCTTCTTCAAGCTAGATTTTCGCTCTTTCGCGCGTTTACTCGATGATTCACTGCTCGATTCGGCCAAATTATCGCGGCTCTTCGAGCGTCGCTCTTTGCTGAGGATGGGGAAGAATTTCTCCATGCTCTTAGGCGAGCCAACAGGGCTTTTAGGGTCTGGATGTTCGAGCAACGATATTCGATTAGTGATGACCGGGTCCAAGTTGCGCGCTATCGCGATTATCTGTGGTGTTAAAATGGTGTCTGTCTGTGTGGATGTGGACGTTTTTTCACCTGGAGAGAAAACGGTTTAAGTAGGCTGGAAATTGGGGCGGGAAAAGGGTTGGCACGTGGACAAACATAAAGCTGGAACGGGACACTGAAGCACTGAAGCACACACAAACACATTTTCGGCGCTTCGACTGCATTCCGCGAAGTTTCCGAACGAACGTTTTTTTTGATTGGTTGATCCATACAATCCCCCACCACAAGGTAACCGCTTAGGATAATACGATTGGCGTACCTTTCAGTTTCTCCAATTGGCCCTCTAGCAGTCTTACTCTCTCGCGGTAGGTTTTATTTTCCAAAATAAAGTTCTGCAACTGTTGTTGGGCCTCAGTTTTGAAGTCGTTGGCGACGCGCACCGAAGTCAACAGATCGTTTTGGAACTTCTCCCATTCGTCATTCTGCAACATGAATCTTTTGTTATTCAAGCTGTTTCTGAAGCGATCAGCCTACTTTTGGCGGCGAAAAACGCGCGGATTAATTAATTAATTAATTTGTTACACTGTGGATTACCTCAATTTGTTGCGTGTTATTTCCAATTCAATAATTTACGGAAAATATGCGCACAACTGGAGCTTTAGCTAGGGCAGACCGCATATGACTAAGCGCGCAAAATTGCCCGTAAATATTAATCTAGTATTTCATCCCGATAAGTCGAACGCAGTAAAGATTACGCGTTTATCTCGACTATAAAAGTTTTCTAGGGAGCCTACAAAAATGTCCTCTGGTGGGAGTTACTCATTATTTATAATTTTATCAATTCGCTGATAAGCAGATAAGATGCCCCATTTTTAAATAGCGGCTGTTTACACAGAAATAGCACGAAAAATTACACATGCAATAAAGCCCGTGTCCCATGCATCCGTTTATACGATGGTACGATGATACGAAAGTGTTTCTATTGGTTGGAGATCTGTCAATTCGTCCGCCGTCTTACGAACGGAGGACGAATTGACAGATCTCCAACCAATAGAAACACTTTCGTATCATCGTACCATCGTATAAACGGATGCATGGGACACAGGCTTTAGGCATACTGAACCGTTTAATTTTCTGAACCGGCTTCTGAACCTTCGACTGCCATGCAACAGGAACCAAATCGTCAGTTTTCTCGGAATTGCGGACAATTTCAAAAATCGAAAAGTTTTGGGCGGTTTAAACCGAGCCCGCAGCCGCCATCTTGTTTTATTATGTTTTGCTCCGTTAGGTCGGCTTCGGTTGGTAGCACTTCTGTAAGTGCTGTCAACTATTTTTTTGTCAATTTGAAACACTCGTTTTCGTTCGTCAGTTCGGTTAGCAATTGGTGATTTATGCGTATTTATTGTGGGTAATTATGGAAAACGGGTTGTTTGTGTGCCGGAGGGCCCTTTGCGATTCGCGCAGAAAGTGGTCAAAGAACTCCCAATGGAAAATGTCTTAATTCCGCAAGACTACGAGTACTACAAAGACCGGCGTTCCTACATGAGCAACTTCTCATCTCACCTCTTCAGCTCGCAATTTCCTCAGCTCTTGAAGCTCATTTTCCATGGTCATGTTCTTTCTTTCGGCCTCGCTCATATTTCGCTGGGTTTCGGACAAAACTGCCGAAAGCTGCCTTTTGTCTTCCAGGTGGCATTGGGCTTGAACCTAAAGAAAACAATTTTTTGAGCCAAATTTCGTTGTTTTTACATTTACATTTGTAGCCCGTTAAATTCTCCCATGTTAAATTGCTTTTTTGAAACAAGTTGTACAGCTACATACCTGAAGCTCGTTGACTGCTTCTTGGAATTGCTGCAACTGCTCGCTCAAGCTGGCCTTTTCCGATGCGAGTTTCTCACACTTGTACTCCAGATCGTTCTGAGTGGTCTTGGCGTTATTTCTGGTCACTTTGCACTCTTCCTGTGGAAAATATTCGTTGTGAATCGGGAGCTTTAAAGCGCCTGGAAATCGCTTACTTGCAGCACAAAGACCTGCTCCTTGAGCTTCTCGTTTTCGTTCTTGCTGCGCGCCAGGTGCTCTTTCAGGTAGGAAATTTCGGACTCCAACTGGTCCTTTTCCTTTCGCGCATTGTCCAACAGCTCGTCCAGCTCGCTTTTGTCGCTCAGCGTTCTGTCCTGCTCCAGCTCGTTGATCTGAGTAACAACCGGGCTTGAACAAGCAGTTCTTTGGCTGCTCCCAAGTCTCTCACCTTAGTTCGGGCATTCTCCAGCAAGTCCGCTAATCGGTCGATTTCGATCTGCTTCCCGGAACTCTGATCTTTGGCCTGCGCCAGCTCCTGGTCCAGCTGCTTGTGCTCGGCATGCTTGGCATCCAGAGTGCACTCCAGTGTTCGCACTCGCTCGCTCAGCTGGGCGATTGCTTCAGTCTTTTCAATGTTCCCTAAACGCGCACATTTTGGACTCCAGGATTGCAGCAGACGATCGTCGACTTACCGGCTCTGGATTCGTGCAAGTCGGCCTGCAGTTGTTCCATCTTCAACAGTAACTGCTCCCGTTCCTCTTGAGCTGAGCGCAGCAGCTCCACCAGCTTTTGTTCGCGCTCCACAGCGCTTTCGAACTGATTGGTCCCCGTCTCATCCTGCCGCTCTCTTTAAGCAACACGCCGATCAGCAATGGAGGGTCGAGCGACTTTTGTGGGGTTTACCTGTAAAGCAGCTGCTTCAAGTTTTCCACCTCCTGCCTGGAGTCGTTCAGTCTTTCGGTTTGCCTGCACAAGCTGTCAAACATCAAAGTCTTTTCCTCGCTGAGTCGCTCGTTTTCCTGCTGGAGTTCCGTCAGTTGACGTTGTAGGTCAGTGAGCTCCTGAAGGGTGGCCTGAAGTTCTTCATTTGTACTAGAATGGAATGTGTATGTGTGGGCTAAGGTGTACAGGGTGATTCAACATTGGCCTCATTCCTCTGGAGGTGTTGTCGGGCGGTGTTTTAGGAGTACCGAAAAAATAGTGAAACAATTCAAACAAAAAAATTCGTATATCGTTTATTTCATAACGGTTCGGCGAGACAACAGCGCCATCATCAGATTTAAAATTGATACAAACTCATAATTGGGAAACATTAGATTCTTTTAGGTCGTTGCTGTCTTGAAACCTTAAATTTGTTTTCCAGCGAAAGCGAAAACAAATTTAAGGTTTCAAGACAGCAAAGACCTAAAAGAATCTAATGTTTCCCAATTATGAGTTTGTATCAATTTTAAATCTGATGATGGCGCTGTTGTCTCTCCGAAACGATATACAAATTTTTAACACTTTGACTGAAACCCAGGGAAAAAAGAGCATGATTGTTATAAAAACTGATAAATTTGCAAAAAACTATATTAGAAAAACGGCAACAATGTTTCAAGGTAATCGATCATCAAATCAAAAACTTGTAGAAGAGAACTTTTTTAATATAAAAAAAGAGCAGATTGTAAATTTAATTTAAAAAAAATCACTATTTTTCTCGTACCCTCCAAGTGAGCCCCTAATACCCCCTAAAAGGAATAACGCCAATTTTGAATCACCCTGCATGCAGTATATGTAAAGTAAACGGATCCAACCAACAGACAGTCAATAACTGACTGGATTTTCATTGATGCTATCGCTATGGACGTTACCTATAGTGAGTCTCCTGCATCTGGTTGATTTTGTCCTGCAAGCAGGCCACTGACACTTCACTAACATTGCCACTGGAATGCTTGTCCCAGTCAGGTGTAGTGCAAGTGGTCACGTCGCCGCCATTCTCATCAGGAACCTGCAGGAAATTTTCGTGAAAATTGGGACAAATGGGGTTTTGCCGCGTTTTTACATTGGTTGCGATGGACGCAGGCGCACTGCTATGATGTCGATTTTCGAACAGAAGCTGCTGCTTCTCGTTGTCGCTGAGTGGCGAATGAGCGACGTCGCGCAGCCGGTTGCGCAGCACGTTGTTCTCCTCTGCCAGCTTTTCCATTTCCACGTTGCTCTCCTCTTGGAACGACTGAACCGGGCGGGAAATTTGAGCATCGCAATTTTTCCAAAAGGAACTTAGAGAGTACCTTTAGCTTCAAAATTTCCTTTTGTAGAACGTTCAGCTGCCCCCGCTGCTCTCCTAATTGCAACGCCAATGAGCTCTTCTCGTCGGCCATTTCTCTGAGCTGCTTGCGCAGCTGATGCAGCTCGACTTCCTGCAGCGAGTCCGACGAGTAGGACAGCGGCTGTCCCGTAGGGGGCTCTAGTTTGTTGTTGTTTTTGGCTTTAAGGAAACGAAAGTTTGGTTAATCCGCTTTGGAAGCCGACAGTTTGTGAAGCCTCACCTTTCCTTCCATCCTGTCCCTGCTTGTCAATCCTCTCCTTCGAGGGGGCTTTTCTGGGCTTGGCCCCCTTGCCTTGAAAGTTGGACTCCAACGAGTCCAAATTGGTGATTGAAGAGGTGCGCGAAAGATTGTCCTGCTGATTCGGACCTTCCTTGTGGCCTCTACGGAAAATAGCCTTGATGGATTTCATGTTGATGGGATCAACGCCACTTTTGAGTTTCGATTTTCGACACTTTGCACTGGTTTTATTGTCTAATGAGTTCCGGCCAACGATGCGCTCCCATGTTCTTCACCTATGCGAATGGCGCTTGAAAACTCTGCCGGCTGTTGGCAATTAGTATTTTAATCCGCTGCCCAAACAAGGCAAGTCGACCTTTTATCATTATCGGTTATTAATTATGAAAAATGACGGATATGTAAGCGCGTTTTCCAGCCGGCCGATCATTCCCGCGATTTTTTCTTCGCTCCGCAAAAGGAAATCGACAAATGTAGAACCGGATCCGGTTGTGGCAACGCGTTGTTCGCTCGCAAAACCTTTATTTAGATGCACAATGACGACGATTTGTGTGCTTTATTAAATCCAATGCTATTCCCGGCCATTAGCCACGATTACGGCCACCACTGGACAGTTTCCAGGGCCGGATTAACCAAAAAACGCTTAAAATGTGCTGAAAATGTCTATTATTTCGGATCTGAAACTTCTAGCATGTTTTTCAATAAGTTCGATGCATTCCTCGCGTCCATGAGATGAAAATGATGCAAAATTTAAGAAATTTTGAGAACATATTCATTTTTTCCAAAAAATCCACCCTTAGACAAATTTCGACTAAAAATGAAAATTTCACATGCGTGTTTTTTTAGCGCAATCGCTTCCTTTCGACGTAAGAAGGTCACAAATATGCATTTATAAAGTGTTTGGGTCAATAATAAGGAAGCAATCGCCGGTTAAAGATCGTGAACGCTCAAAAACGCTTAAAATGTGCCGAAAATGTCAATTATTTCGGATCTAAAACTTCTGCCATGTTTTTCAATGAGTTCGATGCATTTCTCGCCTCCGTGCGCTGAAAATGATCCAAAATTTAAGACATTTTGCGAAAATTTTCATTTTTTCAAAAAATCGACCCCCATCCTTTGAAAAATTTCGGCCAAAAATCAAAATTTCACATGCGCGTTTTTTGAGCTCAATCGATTTCTTTCGACGTAAGAAGTTCACAAATGCGCATTTACAAAACGTTTGGGTCAATAATAAGGAAGTAATCGCCGGTTAAAGATCGTGAAAGCTCAAAAACGCTTAAAATGTGCCAAAAATGTCTATTATTTCGGATCTGAAACTTCTAGCATGTTTTTCAATAAATTCGATGCATTCCTCGCGTCCATGAGATGAAAATGATGCAAAATTTAAGACATTTTGAGAAAATTTTAATTTTTTCAAAAAATCGACCCCCCACCCTTTGAAAAATTTCGACCAAAAATCAAAATTTCACATGCGCGTTTTTTGAGCTCAATCGATTCCTTTCCACGTAAGAAAGTCACAAATGTGCATTTATAAAGTGTTTGGGTCAATAATAAGGAAGAAATCCGTAGCCCCCCTAGATCCAGCACTGACAGTTGCCCAATTAGTCAAGCGACTTTTATGGTGTTATTTGGCAAAAATGACAAAAAACAAACAATCAGGATGGCGCCATTTACAGTTTACGATGTTGACATCAAGTCAGCCTACGCTTACGTTTATTTAAATCGCATTTAGTTAAAAACGCGGGTTGCACGTTTGCAGTCAACGTCACGTTTCGCCAGCCCGCACGGCTAACATCTTCAGGACAGCTGCTAGCTTCGGTTCGTCGCCGAAGCAAACAAACCGGAAGATGCCGGCCATGCGTGATCGCGAAACGTCGGCATCAAATGTATACAGGCGGCGTCCTAATCACCCAAAAACGATTATAACAATGCACAACGAAAATCAATGAAAACAAATGCTAGATGAATGGTGTCACGCCATAAAACAAATTTTGATTAGTTGTTTATTTAAATTGGCATAATGCGACCATTAAAGCGTTAAATTGGCCGTAAACAGTCGATCGTACGAGCCAACCTTGCTGTATTCAGTGTCGTTATCTTGAGCATTTCCTACAATTAGACAAACACGCTCATTCATCGCTTTGGCTTAATAACTGAAGTGAGTTGTTGTCTATTTAATGCATTTTTACTGTAACAACAACAACAATTCCTCATATAATAATCGCGGCTATTTTCATGCGGAAAAACCACTTGAAGACGAGAGATAAGCATAAGCAGCGTCAGCATAAACAAAGCGCGGCACCAATAATAAAACAATAAGTCGCTCTATCTACGGATAGTTCAATAAACCGATGTCGTTAAATGAACAATTCGAATCGGGTAATTGATTTTTCGAGACAGTGTCTCACGTGCGGGAGGCGCCGCCCGATTGTTAACACGTAGAAATTTGGGTTTAATTCGGACGCCCACCGAATGTTGATGATCGCCCCGTAACCCACATGAAAACCATCAGCGCTTAAGAAACTGTGAGCTTCAATTTGGCTAAGTAAAAATCAACAGGGGTTAAATTTAGCCGGCGGGCAGGCCCAGAAAACCGAATCGATCACTGGAAGCCAAAGCAGTTAAACAGGAATCTCGGCTAATGTTACGGTTATGTAGAAAAAATACAGTCTTCTGTTATCTATGAAATTAGAAAAATGATCGTCGTTTTGTGCAAGGGTGGCGCAAGATTTTTGCAAAATTT